TGAGGGGACTGGAGCATCTCCCCTACGAGGAGAGGTTGAGGGAACTGGGCTTGTTCAGCCTGAAGAAGAGAAGGCTGAGAGGGGACCTAATAAATGCTTATAAATATCTGAAGGGTGGGTGTCAGGAGGATGGGGCCAAGCTCTTTTCAGTGGTGCCCAGTGACAGGACAAGGGGCAATGGGCACAAACTGAGGCACAGGAAGTTCCGTCTGAACACGAGGAAGAACTTCTTCCCTCTGAGGGTGACGGAGGCCTGGCCCAGGCCGCCCAGGGAGGTTGTGGAGTCTCCTTCTCTGGAGATATTCCAGCCCCGCCTGGACAAGGTCCTGTGCAGCCTGCTCTGGGTGACCCTGCTTGGGCAGGGGGGTTGGACTAGATGACCCACAGAGGTCCCTTCCAACCCCTACTATTCTGTGATTCTGTGATTTAGACTAAGCTTCCTGTCTTCATTCCAGCTGTCGATAATGGATGCGTGGCGTACGCTCTGCGGACCGGCTTCAACACGTCTCAGGTAAGGTGGGAACGTGCCTTCTCGCCTCTTGGCGATGATGCTGGTTGTGTTGTCTGGCGCTTCGCTGTCGGGGAAATCCTTAGGAAGTACAGCAGGGGGCAAATATAAATCAGGGCATCAATATTCTGGAGTTTTTTTGGAAGAGGAAGAAGTGAGGTTCGTCTCTGTGTGTCAAAGAAGTAGTCTGATGTTTGACATGGAAGCCTGGGAGTCAGGAGTCGGGGTTCCTGTTGTGACTGACCACGCTGTGTACATACTACAGCTCCTGGTTATCCCTGTTTCTGTCGTGAGAATTGTTGGAAAAAGGCGACTGAGTGTGTTTGTAGAGACTGGAGGTGTGAACGTGAGCTTTTTCAGTTGAAAATTGAAGACTGGCTCAAAGGAATCATCCACTTAAGTGACGTAGCGATGAGATTGGGTTTTTTAACAGGTTAATTGTGGGTGACTCTTGGCTGCTGCCTCTTAAGAGGATCACAGAAGTGGGAATAGTTTTTGGGCTCTGGCACCAAAACACCAGAGTGTAACTTTAGAATGGGGTTTCATACATATTTTTAACAAACTGCTGCATGCCGCAGAGGTAGCTTCTTGCACTGAAGGCTGTTCTTCTCAGGGGAAATTGCTACGTACAATCCTCTTTGGGGTGAAGAGAGTGACAGCCAATAACTTAGAGACCTTCATTTTCATCCTGTTCCTGCTGGTCTTTGCCATTGCTGCTGCAGCATACGTCTGGATTGAAGGTGAGATTTCTTCTTGCCTCTTCCAGGTCTCTACACAGGACTTGTACCAAAGCTTGTGGGAAGGACAGTTGACGTAATTTCTGAGAGTTACAATAGCTGGGTTGGGCTGCGCCAGTGTTTCAGTGTAGGGGCCCACACTGCACTCTGGATGCTTTGCTTGTCCTTCCTAGGTAGGTGAGCTTCTTTGTGGTACTCCTCTTAGTTCTGTGGGGCACGCAGTCCGAGGAGGAGGAGGCATACAGTCTCCCATCTCATTCCGTAGGCACCAAGGATCCGAGCAGGAACCGTTACAAGCTCTTCCTGGAGTGTACTTTAATACTGACTTCAGTTGTTCCACCTGAACTTCCCATTGAGCTCTCTCTGGCTGTCAACACCTCCCTCATCGCCTTGGCCAAGCTCTGTAAGTACCAAGCCTAAACGCAGAAACAAAACCAGGAGTGCTTTCTTGCGTAGTGTGGGGACGTTGGTGAGCAAACGAGTGTGAAATTCCTGTGGTGTCCTCAGCTTCTACACAGTGACAGTATCTGGCGTGGAGCTGGTGTAGGTGAGGGGTCTAAACCCCAAAGAACCTGGGAGTCGGGTGCTTTGAAGTGGGTCCTAAATCAGGTGTAGGAGGGAATGTGTTGGTAAGAAAGCCTGCTTGCTCAGCAGTCCTGCAGCTCTGCGTTGAGCAGGTTCCTAGATGTGGAGTAGGCAGGTCGATGGCTTCGGTGTTGGACTACATCACCGCTACAACTTGGTGTCTGTTCAGGTTTCAAGTGCCACGGAAATTCAGAATGAGCAGTTCAGGGTTCATTAACTAGAAGAGGACTGTTTAGGGCTCCTGTCTTGTGATAAAAGCCGCTGAGCATCCTGTCCTGGCTTTGTTGCAGCCGGCCTCTCTCAGAATTTCCTCTGCTCTCTTCTAGATGTGTACTGTACAGAGCCCTTCCGCATCCCCTTTGCGGGCAAAGTTCAAGTTTGCTGTTTCGACAAAACGGGCACTTTAACCAGCGATCACCTGGTAGTGAGAGGAGTAGCTGGGCTCAGGTAGGTGCTGGGTGATTTTTCCTTACCATTTGCTGTGCTCTGGGCTTTGGGCACTGTGGGAGCTCCTCAGGCACGAGCGCAATCGCGGTGCGGTGGGGTAGAGAAGACAATCGGGGATTCAGAGAGTGAAAGAAGTGGATTGAACTGGAGGGAGAGAGGGTTGTTGATCTCTGACGACGACTATGGGCTCAGGACTTGTGAATTTAGTTGTCTTGGGGGACTTCTTGCGTAGGGTTTTTGTGTAACTGAGATCTTGGCTGCTCCTCTGTGCAGCAGCATCCTGCCTTCTGATTCCACTGCCGTAACGAGCTGTGCTTGAAGGCCAGACGCCGCAGCACAGAGACGTCTGCATCCTTTGATTTTATGGTTACTTAAATGTGTTAGTTCAGGCCTCTACTTCAAGTGTTCTGCTTGAATCAGGTTTGCTTTGGAGGACTGGCAAAAATTACAGGCTTTGGCACTGATTGCAGTTGAGACAGCGCCAGATTTCCTACGGCTTTGATCTCACCATGAGAAGCTCCACTGTTTACCGTCTTAGAGCAGGAATTTTTGGCTGGGAAAAAATCCAGAACGTGTCTGAGATAACGTGAACGGGTCTGTTAACACGGGCAGTCTTTTTTTGTGCTGCAGGGATGGGAAGGAAGTGACACCAGTATCTGACGTTCCTGTAGAAACCCACCGAGCGATTGCTACTTGCCACTCGCTTGTGCAGTTGGATGATGGGACGCTGGTGGGAGATCCGCTGGAGAAGGCAATGCTGATGGCTGTGGACTGGACGCTGACCAAAGGTAAAACCCAACTCCAGATCCTCCCTGGTTGATGCCTGAGTGCTCTTTACCCACGCTGTGGGTTGTGGGGTGGTTTTTTCAGGAGGGCTGATGATGACAGCACTGGTTTTGTCCACTCTGAACATGAAATTACCTAGTCTGTGGAGATTTCCGATGCCTCATGCCAGCTTTCTGCAAGGGGTGAATTCCATCTGGTGTAATCCCAGGAACTGGTTTGGGGCAGTGGAAATCCTTGTACTGCGTGTCTGAGGGACAACAAACAGCAGAGGCCCCTTCTCAGGACTGCAGATGCTGCGTTCTGCAGCTGCCCTGCTCAGGTTGGCGTCTTCTAGTTCTGATTGTGCCGACGCAGTAAAATCAGGGCGCGACCAGCGCAGATCACGACAGGGAAAACACGACAGTGTGGGTTTTAGCGTGGTCTGCGGGCAGTCTCTCTGGAGGCTTTCTGCTCTGCTTGCTTGTCTTTCCCTTACACAGGTAACTAAAGTAGAAATATTCCAGAAATACTGATCCTATCCCGCTGAAACCCGTGCTGTTGTGGGTTTTGGTTATGGATTTTTGCCTGAGATAATAGTATATGCTATAAATGCGCCTTCAGCCTGCTGTGTGGGTGTTCACACTAATGCACAGAGGTGTTCCGATCCGTTCTCTCCCTGAATTCTTGGCAGTAGAATTTCCAGCTCTGTATGCTTGTATCTAAGGAGAGGAAATTCATACGACCTCGGTGACCTGTGGGTTCCTTTGGGACCCGAAGGGAGGGATGTTGCTTTTGATACCGAGAAACCTTTCAGGATTTCCTGATCTGTTTGTTTCCAGATGAGAAAGTTTTCCCCCGAAGTATTAAAACTCAGGGACTGAAAATTCACCAGCGCTTTCATTTTGCCAGTGCCCTGAAAAGAATGTCTGTCTTGGCGTCGTATGAGAAGATCGGCTCGACTGATCTCTGTTACATTGCAGCAGTGAAAGGGGCCCCAGAGACACTGCACAAAATGGTGAGCGCATCTCGAGGAGAGCAAGGGCCTTCTTTCGCCCGCGTGTGCTCGTCCCCTTGCTCCTCTGCTTCTCCCCGCCAAGTCTGGAACCCGAATGACGCAGGGGTTTCATCCTGCAAAAGAGCACAGTGAACCCGTGCCTGAAAACAAACTCCTCTGGGGGGTTTCCATCTAACCCCAGTGAGATCCGACTGTCTCACCGTGTGCGTTCCTGGCCCTGTTGCTTCTGCTTACAGCAGAGGGCTAAATGTGGGGGGGGGTCTCCTCTTTTGCCCTTGCTGGAGAGAGTCCAGCGGAGGGCTGTGAGGATGAGGAGGGGACTGGAGCATCTCTGCTAGGAGGAGAGGCTGAGGGAGCTGGGCTTGTTCAGCCTGGAGAAGAGAAGGCTGAGAGGGGACCTTAGAAATGCCTCTAAATATCTGCAGGGTGGGGGTCAGGAGGAC